AAACCTTACAATAAATGAGTCAACTGTCTCTCCATTTCTTTGTGTCATTCTGGATAACTCGGCCACACAAACCTCTAGCTCAACTGTAAAGAACAGGGTATGGAAGAGACGCTCCATCTCATACCATGAATTGACTGAGTTCCTCGAAAGTGGTGAATACTATGTAAAAGTTGTGCCCGTCAAGGAGTTAGTAAATAATTGCAACTTATAATTAGCAAAATTCTCCAAATTGGTGAGTTCACCACATTGGATAGTGAATCTGACTGTGTGCTCCACGGTCAATTGTCCATCTTCTCCAAAGAACAATGTGAAGTCTGGAATTATATAGACCCTAGGATAAGGGTTATTTATGTCAATGGTTTCTAAGTAAGGCTTCACGAACTTTGGGCATCTAACCTGCTTGAGGCTAAGCCCATACAGCTTCTGCACAACATCCCTCAGAATATCCATTGTGACTTGGGGAATTTGAGGGACATGGTTACTTGCCGCTTGAGGAACTGTAGTGACACCGGTGTATGTATTCTAGTGAGCTGCATTCAAACCAAGCCCCCTAGTTCCTTGGCTTCCTCTTATGCCTGTCAACAACCGAGGAGTATGAAAAGCCTCAGCTTCATAGACGCTTGAGTGAGTCATAGGACTAGTGGTCCCAAAAACAATAGTAGGAGTCACTATAGGTCTGCCAGTAAGGGGCCTGTCTGGAGTGGTGTCTTTGATGGGTGGTGCACCGGCTCTTCTCTCCGATGTGGTGGTTGATATCTCTCTTCAATAAGAGCACGACCACTATTAGTGCCCTCGAGGGACTTTGAGGCAATTGCCCCCCCAAGTTCTTTGGTACACTTGGATGGAGATTCATTCTCCTCCTTAGCAGAAGACTTGTAGTAGGAGATTGATTGACAGGTGAGTCCACAACATCAGTTTTCTTTCTAGTGACCTTCTCCATGAAGATATTCATGGTTGGCAGCAATTGGGGCGTCATATAACTATTATTCCTCTGTGCTTCCAACATCACCTTCACATCAGAAAAACTAAAGTTAATGACAACATCATCAGAAACAGAAGGTATTTTACCTGAGCGTTTATTGAGATCATCAAAGGCAAGTGCAACTTCTGGGGGATTTTGAGCAGGAGAGTTGATTTCTCCTTCCTCATGAGGAGATGCTCCTCTTTCAGGGCTTCCAAGGGCTACTCTCGTAGGTCCTCCATTTGAATCTAGAGACTCAGTAGTAGTTTTTTTTTCAACAGTAGAACGAGTTTTTTGAGTTATGGTGTCCTCTCAAAACTCAGGTGAAAGATGGAATGCCCAAAAGTGTCCCACTGAGTGCGCCACAAAAGATTGTTGGTTCTTTTTTCGTAAAAGAGCAACGAATCCGCTGGCTGATAACTAGGTTGTGAATTGCGGGCGTGCTAGGTGTGTGAAGTACACCAACTGAAAATTAAAGTGCGCTTGATCTAACTTCTAGCCTGAAGGGTTGGATCCACGGTATGTGCTTCACCAGTTGTGCGATTAAAGTAAATTTGAGCAGAGGAAGAGAGTTTGATTGCTTGAAATGTAAATAGAATTTTGATTGCTTGGTGGATCCAACGTATTGTGCTTCACACGTTCGTGCGTATTAACAGTAAAATACTGGAGCAGGAGGAGAGAGTTGATTGCTGAAATAAAATAGAATGTCTGACTGCTTGATTGAAATAAAGCTTGTAATTTACAAAGAATGTAAGATAAACAGTGCAATGGGAAAAAATTAAAAACAATGCTTAGAAAATTAAATTGCCTTGACGTTGTTGGAGAAGTCTTTGATTGATTTCTTAAAATTACGTCGCGAGAATTTTAGTCTGTATTTGATGTATGGGCTTCCCTTACTCCTTTTTGCTTCATAGGTGGTTACGGCAAAAGTGTCACACACTGACACCAACCCACTTAATCTTACTTTGGTAGCCCAACACTTCCTGTAAATTAAAGTGCGCTTGATCTAACTTCTAGCCTGAAGGGTTGGATCCACGGTATGTGCTTCACCAGTTGTGCGATTAAAGTAAATTTGAGCAGAGGAAGAGAGTTTGATTGCTTGAAATGTAAATAGAATTTTGATTGCTTGTATTGAAATGAAAGCTTGTAATTACAAAGAATGTAAATAAACAGTGCATGGGAAAAAATAAAAACAATGCTTAGAAAATTAAATTGCTTGACTTGTTGGAGAGTTTGATTTGATTTGTTAAATTCGTCGGAGAATTTTTAGTTGTATTTGTGTTGGGCTCCCTTACTCCTTTTTGCTTCATAGGTGGTTACGAAAAGGGTCCACTGACACACCCATTACTTCCTTTGGTGGCCCGCCTTCCTGTACTTGAAAATGAGTGCTTTTTTTGTTCAACAGCGGCCCACGTTTCTTTCTCTTTCTTTTTAATTAATTAATCAATAAAAATAATTAGTTAATTAATTACACTAAACAATATTAATTGGATCTCAGTTAATTAAGAATCGAAGCTCAAACCCAAAATACAAAGCCCAAAATTTTAAAATTCACAAAATAGGTTCAACAATTTGAATGGGAGCAATAATTTTTTTATTTTTTCATCTTTTTCCACTTACAATTTATAAGTTATATTTATTTTACTAAATTTTGAAGTGATGGTATAATTACTGCATTTTTAGCGGATGAAAATTGAACTTAATTTTAAAGTCAAAAGTTAATTGAATTAATTTTTGCACAAATTTTTGTATTTCTGTTCTTTGATTTTTATTTTGATTAGTTTGTGAATTTCTTTTTCTTGATTAAGGAATTATAGATTTGTTGATGAGTTGTAGGTTGAGACAATGATTATTGCAATGAGTTAAATGCTTGACCTGTGCTTTTTATGAGTTCTCTTCCACCTAAGCTTTGTTTATGTTTTTCCCCAAATTTTCTTATTGTAATTATTTATTTGGTTGCTTTTTTTTATCTTTGGGTTTTCTATGATCTGGGTTTTTTTTTTTTTTAATCTCTTTCCTATTAATTTGTTGAATTAAGTTGATGAACAAGACAGGCAATCTAGTCATGTTAGTGCCCATCCCATGGCATGTGCTTAGCACATAAGGCTTTGATGGCTCACTTATTTGGACCCTAATCAAAGATACAACTGTTTGTGGGCTCTAGTCATCCGAATTGCTAATTCAGTCGGATACGTCACAATAAATACTTAATTGAAAATTTTTAATTTAAACAATTCATTGCAAAAGTTTTCTATTTAAATACCAAAATAGAAAATTTTAAAAACTTCAAATAATAAATTTATAGTTAGCCTTTTTTTTCTTTTTTTTGAAAATTCAAGGCATATTTAATATTTGGCTGAATATTTGTATTTGTACAAAGAGCAGGGCTTCCTATTTTTCCTTCCAACACATTGATCCTTTTCGATTGTGTCTTCCCTCCAAATTTATCAACCAAATAAAGTCGTGCAATCAATTGCTTAAATTATGGAGATCAAATATCATAGTTTTATTTAGTAATACACCCTCACAAAGAATCAAATATCATAATTTTATTTAGTAATACACCCTCATAAAGAAGGGAGAAAAAAAAAATCCTAAATATGGAGACAACAATAATAATAATAATAAAAGATCTGTTATGGGAAAAACAGATCTGAGTTTATTAAAGGAAAAGAAGTTGAAGCGAAAAGATAGTAAAAAATAGGAGATTAACAGCGGTAGCCCCAAACTAAAACTAGGATTAGAAAACTAGAGAAAAAAAGACAAAACTAAACTAAGATATGTTTAAATTGTGATTAGGTTTCTAAGTAGAACTTGGCTTGTTTTCATTTCTTTTAAGGGTATAAAAAAATGAGAAATTTCATGTTCACATATTTTCATTACCAAAACTTTTGTAAACTTAATGAGACTTAAAAAAAAAAAAAAAAAAGGGAAACAAAGGACATTTTTTACAAAGAGTATTATTTTAAATTTATCAAATGTGTACTGTACTTTATAGATTAATCATACTTCATTAGTCTATTGAATAAACGTTAATTTGGGCATCTAACAATTAAATTTAAACATAGCCACTTGAAAACCGGAATAATAACAAGAGTGGAAAAATAAGGACAAAACTGACAGAGAAAATAACACATAAAATGAAGCTGGCACTAATAATTATAATCATGAGGTTAATTGGTTTTAATTAATTTGAATTTGGTGTAAGCAAAATCTCCAAACTCTCAACTACTAATAACGCACACTGCAAAACTGGCTTTGTCTTATCTACTGGTTTTGGCCTCGTCTACAGACTATCAATACCCGTTTTATCTTCCACTAATCAAAACAACTATCTCATTTGAATTCCATTAATTATTCTTTAACTTAAACCTCTCCTTCCTAAATTACACAATTTAATTTTTTTTTATTCATTACGATGCTCAATGGACCGAAATAATATTAGAGCTGCACAATAAAGATATATATCACTCATTTTAACTATTAAATTGGCAAAATTTTTTGTGATTGAGAATATTCAAACTCGATACTTTTCATGCAACAAACTATTGAGAAGACTAATCAAACCATTCATTGGCAATTTGTTAATTTTAAAGACAGCAAAAGATCCACTCAAATAATTTTTATTATATTGAAAAAAATAAAAAATGAAATAGTTTTTTCATTTATTATAAACAATTCATGTAAAAAATATTCGTGAATAAGAAAAATTTCTCATTTATAATTTGGTTGGAAAGTTCTGGGAATTATGGTCGACAGAGCAAGAATTATTAATTATTTACACATAAATCGAAAGCTATTATTTTTTTGAAAAAAGAAAAATGTAAATTAAAGAGAATGAAAAAGAAGTAAGAGAAGAGAGTGGGCTGGATCACCTTTACCAATGAAAGAAAATCCAAACAAGGTTACCTGTAAAACCCAGGCAGCTTTGGCTGTATCCATGGAACTATTTCTTATTGGAAACAAGGCCTTCTCTTGCCGCCTTCTCTCTCTCTCTCTCTCTCTCTCTCTCTTTCATGGACTTTCTTCTGTTTTATCTCTCCTCTTTTTCCTTTATAACCACTTATCTTCAAATCCATACCTCTACTGCTATATCCTTTCCTTCCTTCCTTCTTTCCTTCCAGTGAAAGACAGAGAAAAGAAGAGAAACATTTCCCTTACTTGTAATTCTACTGTAAGTTCTTTCGCAATTCCTGCAGCTCAAACATATGATCTTTGATTAGTAAAATGAAAATATTTTGATCAACTTTGCAGGTTCAGGCGTTTTATGCATCTGAAATAGTGCATATATATCTGCCTGGCTCCCTGAATGCCATATAAGAAGCTTGTCAAAGAAATTGGCAGATTTCTTACTTGGCATGAGGGGAGTCATGCAGGCCTCTCTCTATCAGATAAATGGAAACACCATTCATGCAATTCTTATCTATTTGGGAAAGTTCACGAACGCCATTTTCGTTTGTAAGTTCTTTTTTCTTTCATATATACATTTATATGCTTCAATGCTTTTATACTTATATTCTTTCTGTAATTGGGAATAGAGTGCAATTTCTGCAACAATTCTTTTTTTTTTTTTTTTTAATATTTTTGGAATTTAAAACAACTAAAATCTTACTTCCACACTATTTGGGTCGGCCATAAAATATCAATGCTAAGTTAAGTTTAGTTAGAAAAAAAAATTTTATATTCAAGATTTTAATAGATATTTATTTTTAAGTTTAATTTTATATGGATAATAAATTATATTTAATTATTTAAAAAATAAAATTAGAAAGATTTTTTGTAGATTTTTAGATATACATAATAACCACATATATATGTCAAATGGTTTCATAGAAAAAGGGCTTTAGATTTGAAATTCATTATTGCATTGCTAATTAGCATTGACCCAAATATTGCATTTTTTTAGTGATGATTGATCCATGAAAACCATAGATTAAATAATTGAGGGGTGAACTACATGTTTTCCGAAGTGCATGATGTCGCTTATAATCATTTTTGTTTATGGTTTTCTTTGAGTTTTGCTCTCTTATTATTGAAAAGAAAAAAAAGAAAATGTGCATCTTTAGAAAATCAAGCTTTTTTGGTACTTAATAATTTTTGTACAGCTTCCCAAATGGACAACTCAACAACCATGATTTAAGAGTTGGAGATTTTTATGAAGAAGATTTGAATTCAAATCTTAAGTTAGATGGGAAAAATAAGGACAGAATATAATTATTCCCATGGATTAATGAAGTGGGTATAAATTTCAATTTCAATGTGAAAAAAGAGAAAAAATACAACATTTGTACAGTGTTGCAGAATTTCTAAGAGACTTGTTTTGTGGTTAGGAAGAAACCTCATAATGCAGGACGCTTGATGTGGGCCTGCTTTTTTTATATTCAATGTAAATCTCTACAAGCCAGTGACAAAGATATGTTATCCTGCACTAATCTTCCCATGACATTTGTTCTTTATTTATGACTCAAGAGATATTTTCTATCTTTTAATTTCTTTTGCCCAAATATGTGAATTGATATTTAAAATTTTTAATAAAATTAAGTAGTATTCTCAATTTTATGACTAATAAAGTGTTTATTGAGATAGTAAGCGACCTTAACTCAAAAACACAAATTTGATCATCGAATGAAAAACAAAAAAACCTTTACGTTCTATGGCCCGAGTGAAATTACACTTACTCTAAAAAATTGTATTAACCATACATTAAGTCAACACTTTAGCAGTTTAGCATATAAAAATCAAAACCTCTTTAAAATTCATAATTTTAGAACTATAATAGATGTTTTTAAATTTTAAAGTCAGCAATATATTCTACATAAAATAAAGAGATAAATTTTATATATTTGGCCAAAGATTTTTAATGAGTAAATTTTTTTAATAAAATAATCAATCAGGTAGTAGTTTGTTTGGTCTTTTCACTTATGTGAGGAGTAAGAGGTCTTGAGTTCCGAGTCTTTTCAACCATAGTTGTTTTTACTAGTTTGGTAAATAAGGAAAAGACTACCCCTTGTTGTGTAGCTCGCAGTATTATTTCGGCATATAAAAGTTTCTAATGAATTAAAAAAATTTTTTAATAAAATTAAATATATTCCATCATTAAATTATTAATCCAAAAGTTGTTAGAGCTTTCTTTAATAAAATGGTATGTTCAAATAATTTCCCAATCTTGGATTTTTGTGGGCACTCATTATGTTTCTGAATTCTTGGAGCTAAAATAGACATGAGCTTTTGAAAAGAACAAATGCATTCTAAAGTTTGTCATTTAGTGGAGTCAGTGTGCTTCTGCTTGGCTATGAATGGTAAGTAATTAAGCTTCTTCCAACCTAGCTTGAGCTGCCAAATTTGACTTCAACAGTCACCAAACTTACAATTTATTCTGCATCTAATAAATTAAACACCAAATTACACTTAAATTAGGTCTAATAAATTATAATTATGCATTCAGTTTTTGACCCAACCATTTTAACTGAATAAATCAAATTTTATTGAACAATTATTGTATCCAACTCAACTAAATTGAACAAAAATATTTCAGTTTTTAAAACAAAAATAAATCAACAACATCATCGTAATGTATATTTCATTATCATGACAATTCTATTATCGTAATACATCATTCATTGTTATCCCATATTGTTTGGATGTGGGTGGAAATGAAATTAAGCCCGGTCCATTTCATAACATAATATTAGAGTGTATCCTGCTTTAATGTGGGGCTATCCGCATACAGGTAGAGCAAACGGGAGTCATATCCAATGTCAAAATGATTATTCAAATAAGGCATATACATAGGGCTTTCTAAGCCTATATCAGCATACTATCATATCACTAGGGCAATATAATCATAAAATGCATCTCAGGCCATATGATGTTAACATACTAATGATATATTAATATCCAATACACTACACATATATACTATAATCGTAGAATTCTCTAAAGGATTAGGTTTAACTAACAATATGTGATCATATCATTACGTAACACTCACTTAGTAAGTAGAGTTGACACTGTTCAACAACACAATGACAACCCATCTGAATTCGCAAGTAGATGCACTTCAACGTGTAAATTTGCAAAATATCGATTTGATATATAGTTAGCATAACTTTTAAAATAATAATTCGTATAAATTTTAGTTTTTTTAATGAATATTTAATTGATCTAATTTTACAAGTTAAAGTGTTCAATAAAATAATTTTGAAAATTAAGTGTTTAATAGATATAATTTTATAAGTTAAATTTTTTTATGGATCAAAGTAAAAGTTGAGAGTGTCACAAGCTTAAAGTAATAAAATTCATGGGTAAATTTATATATTTGGCCACTAATCATCTTATATAACTTTTTTTAATGTATTCTTATATTTGTTCCTTTTACTAGCAATTGAATTACTTTGGATAATTTGTAAAATATTTAGGAAGGAGATACTAATTAGGAGTTTCCAATTTATTATATGAATTCCAAATTAATATTTTTTTTTTTACTTGTTGTTATTCATATATTTATTTTATTTTGTTATAATTATTTCAATTTCCTATAGTCATTAAAGTTTAATTTAATCGTTCTAGTTTATTAGTCTAATATTTTGTTTTTAAATTCCCTTTCACTTCCTTAATTACCTTAATTTTTTTTTTTCATAATTCTTAGTCAAAACACAAAATAACAAAGTCTTGCTCTCTAGCAAGTGGCGTTGTTTTGTTCTAATAAAAAGCTTTTGTTTTTCACTTTCCCAACTGTGAGAATGGCTTCCAGTTCTTGTCTTGAACGCAACTTATCATGAGACCTTATCCAACTAACGATTCGTGAGGAGGAGGAAACTGGTGGTGTGGTGGTTGATGATGGTAATTTTCTCCATCTCCAGCGATGCCTGAACTACGCTTGGTTGTTCGCTTTTTAACAGAAAAAGTGATCAACTTTCCAGCCTTGAAGCACACTATGGCCTCTCTTTGGAGACCAGGGCGGGGAGTAAGTATAAGGGAGTTGTTGAAGCTAGAAAAAGATGAACAACCATAGAATGTTTCTTTGTTTCACACTCTTCTTTGTGTCCAGGTTCATGATATGCCTTTCAATTTTTTTACTATAACGGTTGCTAAGTCTATTGACAATTACATAGGAAAATTCGTAGAAGTTGACCCAAAGAATTTTTCTGGTATTTGGTGGGGCTTCACGCGCATTTGCATATGGTTTGATACTAGGATTTCATTGAAATGCCCTATATATGCGCCTCAAAAAGATGGGAGGAGATTGGGTGCGGATAAGTTTCAAGTATGAACGATTGCCCAATTTTTCTTTTGTTTGTGGAAAATTGGGTCACATAGAGCGTTTTTCCTCAACATCCAGAGAACGGTGCTATTATTACCCGATGAAAAACTGTTTGGCCCAGAAATGCGAGCCACCACTCGCCGAACTTTACAAGGCATTGGGTTTAGGTGGCTACGGGAGGATATTTTGGTTGATCGGAAAAGTGCTGACCTGGCATATCCGAATGGAGCAGTTATGAATTGTAGATTTTTCCGTAAAACAACACAAGAGCTACGTGGGGATGAGGAGAGCATTAGTGTTGTTAATGATGTTGATGGTGGGAGGTCATATGGGAAAGAAAATGTTGCTCCTACAACTAAGGAAAATGTTGTTGTTTTTTGATGCAAAACGTATAAGAATTAATGATGGGGCCTATGAGCAAGTTGACTAGCCTATGAATGTTGATTGTTTTCTTATTATGCATTTTTCCAAAGTTTCGGTGGGTCCGGAGTCCTAGGCCCATCAACTTCAATGAGCTTTTTAAGCTGAAACGATCGTGTGGTTTAGGCAATTTACATACAGTTCGAGTTCTTAGGGATCTAATTTATAAATATCGACTCGTATTCGCTGTTTTAACTGAAACTAAAATTGGCGGATTAGAATGGAAATAGTAAGGGATTTATTGGGCTGTGAAGGAAGTTTTATATTGGATTCATACAGGCTTAGTGGTGGTATTGCATTATTGTGGAAGGCCAGAGATTCAATCCATCTTATTTCTTATTCAAATTATCATATTGATATTGTTGTACACATTCCACACTACTCTACTTGGCATCTGACCAGCTTCTATGGCCGTCCTAAGAGGCATCTTTGTCATCTATCTGGGACATATCTAAAGTCGCTTAAGTTGAAGTTGGTGCTACTTTGGTATTGTATAGGTGACTTTAATGACCTTCTTTGTTCATCCGAGAAATGAGGTCGTGTGTCGCATCCTCAATGGTTATTTAATGGGTTCTGAGAAGCTTTAGAATCAAGCGGATTAATTGACTTGGGATTACATGGATACCAATTTACTTAGGAGAAGAGTCGAGGATCACCAGGCTTGGTTGAAGAAAGATTGGACCAAGGCCTAGCTAATCGGGATTGGATAGAAATTTTTCAAAAGCGAAGGTGTCAACCTTACAGCTTCTACCTCTGATCATTCCCCGATCCTTTTGAAGTCATATGGTCGCCTTTGGACAAGGAGTCGTGGTTCCAATTTGAAAATCTTTGGATTCGGGAGCCTGAATGTCGAACGATAATCAACGGTAGCTAGTCCTCAAACCCTTTTTGTGCTATTGCTAACAAAATTGCTTCATGCGCTTCAGCGTTAGCCAACTGGGGCAAGGGTTTTTAAAAGGATAAGAGGAAGCTATATAGGAGAATGCATGACTTAAGACCAAAACATGATGCGGCTTTTGTGCTGGAATTTAATGCGATTAAAACACAATATGAAGCTTGTTTGAACGCGGTGAAGTCTATTAGAAACAAAGATCAAAACAATTTTGGCTATATAATCGAGATCAGAATCCTAGTTTTTTCCATGTTTAAGCCTTGGCTAGGTGGAAAAATTATATTTCATGGCTTCAGGTAAGGGTGGCCAAAATCTGATTTTCGGAACTAGAACTGTCGGTTCGAAACCGGTGGGACCCGGAATCGGTCTGAACTGGAATCGAAACCGGTGTGAACTGGTTCGGTTTCGATTCCACCAGTTTTGGAACCATGAACCAGCGGTTCCCAAAACTAGTCGGAACTGACAGTTCTAGTTTAGGTTGGAACCGTCCGAAACCCGTCGGAACCATCCCGAACCGGTGGGAGAACCGACCAGAACCATTGATTTTGGAACTGTTAAGGAACCGGAACCAGAACCAAAACCGCTCGGTTCCAAACCGTAATCGAAACTGTTAATTTTTTGTTCGGTTTCGATTCTAAAAAATTTGGAACTTGAACCGACGGTTCTGGAACCGTGGCCACGTCTGGCTTCAGGATGCTTTAAGAATTTAAAATGAGGCTGGTCCAAATTTGAATAAAATTATAGTGGAATATTTTTTGAATTTGTTTACATTAAAGGGAAGTGATGAAAATGTAGTTTAAAACTGCGTTAGTTCATTGGTCACAGAAATTGAGATAATATGCTCATGGAGCCTTTTTCACTAGAAAAAGTTCGTTCAGCTGTTTTCTCTATGCACTTGGACAAATCTCCTAGTCTAGATGGATTTAATCCTGCATTTTTTCAACTATTTTGGGGAATTGTAGGATCCGATGTTATCTTAGCATGTTTAGCATTTTTAAGTGAAACTTCCTTGCCCTCTCAATTGAATAAGACTCATATTGTCTTGATTCCCAAAAAAAAAGAAAAATCTCCCTGTCAATGTCGAACCTGAGTCTGATACGTTTATGTAATGAGGTGGATTTGAAGATGTTGGCAAATCGTATGTCAACAAAAATTCATTTGTTCCAAAAATCCCACTTATTATAACCCTAAAAATGCCCCATAACTATAAAACTCGGAAAAATTAAATTTCATATATTTTCAATAAAATACATAATTTAATCCTTGAACTTTGATTAAAAAAAAAAAAATTACGGCCCTCTAAACTTTAAAATCAACATTATGACACTTGAATTTCACTTTTTGTAGTAATCTCTTACCTTGTCATGCTAGCAACAACAATTTATAGGTTTTTGGCTTTTATGTAAGAATGCTGATTCCGTATATTGTCAGTACAACTTTGAAATAATAATTTCCACGTTACTCAATCATTCAATAAGTGTTTAATCGAACTAACTTTATAAACTGAGGCGTTTAATAGATCAAATAAAGCGTATAATAAGTGTAATTTTATAAATTGAAATATTTAATAGGTCAAAATAAAAATTGAGAATTTCATAGAATATTTCACGTAAAGTACAATTGTGAATTTATGTACCAATCAAACCGTATATTTTTAAAATTTCATTTTCAACTTCAAACAGTGTTGCCATATAATTTATCAATGACCGCTGCATATCCCGGGTCGTCTGGCCAGTCAACTTCTTCTCCCTATAAATACATATGATACAACATTTTGGTTTATGCTAAGTTATTCCCTGGTTTTCTTTCCTTGGTTCCTTGTTTTTCTTCTTCTTCCATTTTTTTTCAGTTGGAAAACAACAACAAATTATATAATCTGTTGGTCCCAATTATAATAGAATAAAATGAAGGTATTTGCTTTCTGTTAGGAGTTAAATTATTAACAAAAAATTTTAAAATTAATGCATTTCCTATTGTGTGCAGCAAAAGATTGTGCTCAAGGTTGATATGAAGTGCAACAGATGCCGGACTGAGGCACTCAAGGTTGTCGCAAAAGCTGATGGTAAGTGTTAATCAATAGCTTTTAGCTAATAGTTGATTTGAGCTATTTTGCTAACAGTTCATTCTAATTTAAATTGATTCTCTATAATACCAGTTTCATTTCTATCGATGCTTTTTTTTTCCGATTCAACATTCGAAACTATCTTTCCTTATAAATATGTTTTCATTAATCAAGTTAAGTTCTGTTTTATAGATTGAATTTTCTATATTAAAAAAAATCATTTGATAAATTTATATACGCTTCATCACTTGAGTCATTCATCTGATAAATTCATATACGCTTCATCACTTTGAGCCATTCATCAATAAGATTTAATCGCATATTAAGTAAGTCGTAAGTATCTAATATCAGATAATAATTAAGAAATTTTCCCATTTCAAGCATCCACTTTATATTAATTATGAAAAATTAACTCAAAAGTTTAAAGTTTTAGTTTTTTTGACCGACTCATTATTAGGGGAAAATTTTCAAGGTTTTTGAATTTCTCCACACGTAAAGGTGGTTAGCCAACTAATGTACGACTAGAGGTAATAGTAGTTATGGTGTCGAGTTAAAAGAAAATATAAATATCAAAGAAAAAAAAATAGTTTTTCATAAATTATTGTTTTTGTTTTTTTAACTTTGTTCTTTCTTTTTTATCTATTTGCTATAAGATGTGATATTTTTTTTTTTTTCTTAATTAATTTAGAGCTCAAGTAAAGTAAGATCAATTATTGAAAATTGACATTATGCTGACTTAGCCTTGATGATAATATTAATTTTGTATAGCCAGAGCCAGCACCAACCTGGCATGGTCTATTCTCCAAGTCAAGTCTTGTTTAGTCAAGCACGTTTATATTTAATTAGTTCAGTACCAAATACTTAAATTTAAGTAACTTATTTATGAATTTAAAAAATGTTGAATTTTATAAAAGAAATATCTCATCTTTTTTATAATTTCCTTCATAAATTTTTAAGTCGCTAGATCAGTGAACATGTTTAAGTTTAGACATTCATTAGTTGTATAGAGCAATATCAGTTTTAAAACATTATTTATATTCAGGGACGAAGTTACTTGGTGGAGGAGAGGGAGCAATTGTCCCCCTCCCATTCTTTTTTTAAAAAAATTTTCTTTATAACTCTTGATTCAAATCTTGGTCTAGAGAAATTTTTAAGACATCTTTAATCATTTTACTCCTTCCTTTTTTTTATAATATTCTCTTAATAAATTTTTATAGTAGTTTGTCTCCCTCTTTTATAAACCTTAGCTTCGTCCTTGTTTATATTTGGAATTGTTTAAATTGAAGAAAGAGGATGTGGGAGCAGGTGTGAACTTCTTGGGGTTAGAAGGAGAAAACAAAGAAAGAGTGGTGGTGATCGGAGATGGAGTTGATGCGGTCAATTTGGCTACCAACTTGAGGAAGAAAGTTGGGCATACCGAAATTATCAGCGTGGCAGCCCATGATTCTAAATAGAAATATTCAGTGTTCTAATGTATAAATTTGCTCTTAAAATTTACGCGAACTGCCATCTCACACTCTCAAATTTGTGGAGAATCTATCGTGATCCTAAACTTTTATATTTCAGTAATAACTATATACCTCGCTAAAATGAATAACTTTACAAGAGTTTAATCATAACTCTGTATTTTTACATTTTATTTTGACGAGGAATATAATTATTACTGAAATGTGAAAGTGTAGGATTATAATAGGTTTTTGCAAACTTGAGGGTGTTATAAGGCAAATCACGTAAACTTGGAGAGCAAATCTACGTATTTAGCCGATATTTAACATGTAACAGGGGCTTCTGTGGCCCATTTGTTTGATGAGTTTATTTGGCTTATCTTTTGGTGCTATGGAGGATGGTCATTTGTATCACCATTACCTTTTAAATTTTCTTAATTTTCGTTTTCATTTTATGATATTATTATCTCACAAGGTTTGTCTTTTAAATGTTTTATTTTTGTTATTTTGGTTTGCATGAAAAATGAAAAATATTCTTCAATGACTATAAAATTTAAAACATAAAATAAATCGTATTCTGACAAAAGTCTGAAATATATATATATATATATATATATTCACACTATATTTAAGTGAAAAATTTTACAGCACTCCAAATTTTATAAGGAACTTAATATACTTCTAGAGCTATCAATTTCCATCACAGACTTCTTTATACTAGCAACAATAGTTCTTTAGTAAATCCGCTTTTAAATACAAAATACATTGATTTAATGTGGTTATTATAACTTTTAGAACAATAATTGCACTTTTTAACTATAGGTTAGAGTATTCATTATAAAAATTTTAAAAATTAAAATACTTAATTAATAAGTGTAATTTTATAAATTGAAATATTTAATAGTCAAATTAATAAGTTGATTTTGAAACCGGAACCAGAACCAAAACCTTTCGGTTTCAAATCGTAATCGGAACCGTTAATTTTCGGTTCCGATTCTAAAAAATTTGGTATCGGAACCGACAGTTCTGGAATCATGGCCACATCTGGCTTTAAGATGCTTTAAGAATTTAGAATGAGGCTGGTCCAAATTTGAATAAAATTATAGTGGAATATTTTTCGAATTTGTTTACATCAAAGGGAAGTGATGAAAATGTAGTTTAAAACTGCGTTAGTTCATTGGTCACAGAAATTGAGATAATATGCTCATGGAGCCTTTTTCACTAGAAAAAGTTCGTTCAGCTGTTTTCTCTATGCACTTGGACAAATCTCCTAGTCTAGATGGATTTAATCCTGCATTTTTTTCAACTATTTTGGGGAATTGTAGGATATGATATTATTATCTTAGCATGTTTAGCATTTTTAAGTGAAACTTCCTTGCCCTCTCAATTGAATAAGACCAAATTGTCTTGATTCCCAAAAAAAAAGAAAAATCTCCCTATCGATGTTGAACCTGAGTCTGATACCTTTATGTAATGTCTTATATAAGGTGGTTTTGAAGATGCTGTGGCAAATCGTATGTTGACAAAAATTCATTTGTTCCAAAAATCCCACTTATTGTAACCCTAAAAATGCCCCATAACTATAAAACTCAGAAAAATTAAATTTCATATATTTTCAATAAAATACATAATTTAATCCTTGAACTTTGATAAAAAAAAAAAAAAATTATAGCCGCCTAAACTTTAAAATCAACATTATGATACTTGAATTTCACTTTTTGTAATAATTTCATACCTTATCATGCTAGCAACAACAATTTATAGGGTTTTTGGCTTTTATGTGAAAATGCTGATTCCGTATATATGGTCAGTATGACTTTGAAATAATAATTTTCAGATTACTCAGCCATTCAATAAGTGTTTAATATAACTAACTTTATAAATTGAGGCGTTTAATAGATCAAATAAAGCACATAATAAGTGTAATTTTATAAAATGAAATGTTTAATATGTCAAAATAAAAATTGAGAGTTCCATAGAATATTTCATGTAAAGTACAGTGATGAATTTATGTACCAATCAAGCGGTATATTTTTAAAATTTCATTTTCAACTTCAAACAGTGTTGCCATATAATTTATCAATGACCGCTACATATTCCGGGTCGCTGACCTGTCAACTTCTTCTCCCTATACATACATATGATACATCATTTATGTTTAGGCTAAGTTATTCCCTGGTTCTCTTTCCTTGGTTCCTTGTTTTTCTTCTTCTTCCATTTTTTTTCAGTTGGAAAACAACAACAAATTATATAATCTGTTGGTCCCAATTATAATAGAATAAAATGAAGGTATTTGCTTTCTGTTAGGAATTAAATTATTAACAAAAAATTTTAAAATTAATGCATTTCCTATTTTATGCAGCAAAAGATTGTGCTCAAGGTTGATATGAAGTGCAACAGATGCCGGACTGAGGCACTCAAGGTTGTCGCAAAAGCTGATGGTAAGTGTTAATCAAAAGCTTTTAGCTAATCGTTGATTTGAGCTATTTTGCTAACAGTTCATTCTAATTTAAATTGATTCTCTATAATACCAATTTCATTTCTATGGATGCTTTTTTTTCGATTCAATATTCGAAACTATCTTTCCTTACAAATATTTTTTTCATTAATCAAGTTAAGTTCTGTTTTATAGATGGAATTTTCTATATTACAAAAAAATCGTTTGATAAATTCATATACGCCTCATCACTCGAGTCATTCATGGATATACATATTAAGTAAGTCATAAGTATCTAATATCATATAATAATTAAGATATTTTCTCATTTCAAGCATCCACTTTATATTAATTATGAAAAAATCAACGCAAAAGTTTAAAGTTTTAGTTTTTTTGACCGACTCATTATCAGGGCAAATTTTTCAAGGTTTTTGAATTTCTCCACACGTAAAGGTGGTTAGCCAACTAATATACAACTAGAGGTAATAGTAGTTGTGGTGGCGAGTTAAAAGAAAATATAAATATCAAAGAAAAAAAAATAGTTTTTCATAAATTTTTTTCTTTCTTTTGTATCTATTTGCTATAAGATGTGATATTATTTTTTTTTCTTAATTAATTTAGAGCTCAAGTAAAGTAAGATCAATTAGTGAAAATTGCCATTATGCTGACCTAGCCTTGATGATAATATTAATTTTGTATAGCCAGAGCCAGCACCAACCTGGCATAGTCTATTCTCCAAGTCAAGTCTAGTTTAGTCAAGCAAGTTTATATTTAATGAGTTCAGTACCAACTACCTAAATTTAATTTCTTCTTTTTCTCTGGTTGATGATTAATTTTAACTTATTTATGAATTTAAAAAATGTTAAATTTTATAAAAAAAAAAATCCCATCTTCTTTATAATTTCCTTCATAAATTTTTAAGTTCGATGAACATGTTTAAATTTAGATATTCATTAGCTATATAGAGCAATATCAATTTTAAAATATTATTTATTTTCAAGGATGAAGCTACATGGAGGAGGAGAGGGACAATTGTCTCCCTCCTATTATTTAAAAAAAAAATTTTCATTTATAACTATGTAATTCGAATCTTGGTCTAGAGAAATTTTTAAGATATCTTTAACGATTTTGCCCCATCTTTTTTTTATAATATTTTCTTAATAAATTTTTATATTAATTGTCTTGCTTCTTTATAAATCTTAGCTTCGTCCTTGTTTATATTTGGAATTGTTTAAATTGAAGAAAGTGGATGTGGAAGCAGGTGTGAACTTCTTGGGATTAGAAGGACAAAACAAAGAAAAAGTGGTGGTGATCGGAGATGGAGTTGACGCTGTCAATTTGGCTACCAACTTGAGGAAGAAAGTTGGGCATACCGAAATTATCAGCGTGGCAGCTCATGATTCTAAATAAAAATATTTAACGTCCTCATGTACAAATTTACTCTTAAAATTTATGTGATTTGCCTCTTGACATTCTAAATTTGCGGAGAATTTATCATGATCTCTATACTTTTACATTTCAGTAATAATTATACATCTCGCTAAAATGAATAACTTTGCAAGAGTTCAATTATAACATTGTATTTTTACATTTTATTTTGGCGAGAAATATAATTATTATTGAAATATAAAAGTGTAGAATTATAATAAGTTTTTTGAAAATGCTACAAGGCAAATCTCATATCTCATAAACTTTGACAGCAAATCTATGCATTTAACCAATATTTAACGTGTAATAGGGGCTTCTGTGGCCCATTTGTTTGATGAATTTATTTCGCTTATCTTTGGTGCTATGGAGGATGATCATTTGTATCACCATTACCTTTTAAATTTTCTTAATGTTAATTTTCATTTATGATATTAATATCTTACAAGGTTTTTTCTTTTAAATGTTTTATTTTTGTTATTTTGGTTTGCATGAAAAATGAAAAATATTTTCTTCAATGACTATAAAATTTAAAAAATAAAATTGACAAAAGTCTGAATATATATATATACCCATATATTGAAGTGAAAAATTTTGTAACACTTGAAACTTTACAAGGAACTTTTATTCTTCTAGAGCTATCAATTTCAGTAACATCATATATTTCTTTATACTAGCAACAAAAGTTCTTTAGTATTTTCACTTTTAAATGCAAAATATATTGATTTAACGTGGTTTTTATAATTTTTAGGACAATAATTTTTATATTTTTTACTAAAGATTGGAGTATTCAATAAAAAAAGTTTAAAAATTGAAGTATTTAATTAATAATGTAGTTTTATAAGTTGAAATTTCCAATAGTCAAATTAAAAGTTTTAATGTTTTTTTTATATAAAGTAGAAAGTAAATTTTTACATTTAACTCATAAATATTAAAAATATATTTTTTTATGAACTGGTGGATGATGACGATGAAAGCAAGAAGGACAATGAAAGATGATGAAGATGATGATGATAGCTAGCTGTAACTCTTTCCCTCTTTATTTCGATGAAAGAATGAGTTATATGCACTGCACCAGATAGCTATTTAATCCCCATCAGTTAGTTAACTGTTTTGATATGACAAGTATAAAAGAATTTAATACATGAAATATTATAATTTTTGTGGCAGAAAAAATTTAAATTCAAAATCTCTTATTTTTTATATTTTCAATAAAAGATAAAAAGACCAATATTAATAATTAAAATATTAATTGGTTAAAAATATAATAATTATTTATTAAAATTTTTTTTAGAACGCTTTTTTATATTGATCAGAATGGTAAACAGTCTAGATATTGATAAATGTAAAGGTACAATTTCCATATAAATTTTAAAAAGAGACTAATCACAATTTGGCTACTCCTATTTAAAAAGGAGAGTTAATCTCAACTATATATTACACAATTATTTCCCTATTTAGCCTCGAATGAATGAAAATAAAATTTTCATTTCTCTTTTTTCATTTTCCTTTTGCCCAACAAAAAGACAAATCCATATTTTGAGGTGTAGAGTACAGCTTTTATTGCTTCTATGAGGTGTAGAATTAGACTTTCAAATTTGGAAGAGGAAAAGTGGGAAAAAAAAAAGTTATATTTATTATACATTAAATTAAAATTCGTCAAATCAAAAATATTAAAAAATTATTATTATTATTAATATAAGGTGGTGCATAATGTTTCAAAATTCACAACTGCAGAAATATTATAAGTCTCGAATAAAATTTAAGGTGACGCACCTAAAGTACATAGTGAATTTGCTGCAATTGACTATAATATAAGTTTAGACTTCAAGAAAATTCCAAGAGGTGTCCTTCAACTCATAACCAAACAGTCCATAACCCAATTATGTCTCCATGACTATAATTGCAGTTCCTTTCACACCAAGGACCCAGTTTCCAACTCGGACTCGAGAGACGAAGACCGTTTGGCTCCTGGCTCAATAATTTAACTTCCGTTCTCTCTCCTTACGTGGCACCCTTACCTTCCTTCTGTTACCACAAACCTACACGTTTCCTGCCACGTCATCGACGAAAACTTCCAAACTCATAACACATCACTCTCTTTTTTTTATCCTTCAGTACTCGTATCTTTCATTTTCATCATTGTTCCTCCTCCCACCGCCGCAATCATGGCGGTAACTTCACCAGAAACCACCGATCCCACCCTCACTCAATCTTCACATAAACCATTCTCCTATCGTCCATTTAATCTCCAAAAACTTCCTCATTTAAGTGATTATCTTCCAGATGTCAAATCCTACACTAACCCATTAGAGAATAATTCTTACTACCGCCCAACCGACGGTTTCTACCTAACAGACGCCGACATCGTTTTGCGTCAGATAATCATTGACCTTTCTGGTACTTTCCCTCCTTCCGCTCCATTCTCTGCGTACCATAGGGCGGGTCCGCGTCAACAAATATTCTTTGACCCGAGTAGTGTTCGGGCTGCTATTGTTACCTGCGGGGGACTGTGTCCTGGAATGAATACGGTGATAAGGGAATTGGTGGTTGGGCTTTGGGAGATGTACGGAGTGCGTAAGATATATGGAGTAGTGGCTGGGTATAGAGGGTTTTATTCAAGAGAGCCTATTGAGCTTAATCCAAAGCTTGTCCATAACTGGCATAAGAGGGGCGGTACTGTTCTTGAGACCTCTAGAGGTGGGTTTAATCTTGAGAAGATTGTTGATTCCATTCAAAATCATTGCTTTAATCAGGTTTGTTTCTTAATATTCAATATGAATTATGAATGTGCATTTGGTGCTTGGTACTTTGGATTGAAAATTTACAGAATTGAAAGTCATTTTTCTTTAAAATAAATTAATTAACTTTCTCTTGGGCGAAGAAAAATATTTTTCATTTAACTTATTTCCCTGATCACCCCGATCACTCCGGGTTTGCTAGGCAAGACCTGACACTTCCATTTTCAAAATTATTTTATCTGCAACGTAAAATAACAGCTTATGGTTCTGTTTTGAGCGGTTTGTGGACACCTATAGTACTAATCCTTATTTAGAAGAGGCTGTGATGGTCAGAACTTTTAAGTTCATTGAGGTAAAAGATACATGTAACTAAAATTGGACAATTTCATATATATATATATATATATATATATAACCAATAGTTATGGATTTCTTATTTCTTTTTCTAAATAAGCTAGCACTTAATGTTCTTCAATTCAAAAGTTTGAAATTTTAATGTTACAGAATTTAAAAGTATGGCATAATTAATAAAAAAACTTTGGAAGTTCAGAAACTTGAAAACATGTCTTTTTTAACATATGTACTTGTATCAAACGCAAAAATAATTTCCAGTGTTATAGTTATATTTACGAGCATCCCAAAAAAAACAAACAAAAAAAAATGAAGATGGATATTTTGTCCTTGGAGTAATTGCAAAGAGGAGTCATATTTGGTCTCATTTTATAGGTAAATTTTCAAAGGCTAAAACTTTAGTGGGTATAATATAAATGCATAACAATTTATATGCTTTCTTTTTTGTTTCAACATTAGTGTGTATGTATAGGTACGTTGAAGCTACAGTCAACATCATTTTTCAAATTCATTCATGTGATCTGGCAAAAAATACATTGGCTTTCCTGTTTTTATGGAAGTTCATTGTCTTTGTGGTATTATGTGAGATAATTTGTATTTTGATAAAATTGAAGTTCTGCCCGTCTTCAAGCTGAGAGTTTAATCATGATACAATTGAGAAAAAATTTATAAACAAAAATGGTTGAGGCAAATTCTTTCAAATCATGCGTCTAATTTATGTAATTTGTCTTGATGAACAAAATTAGCATGAGATGTAATAAAGCTCATTTATATATCATCACTTCTGATTATGAAATAATTCCAGTTGTATATCATTGGTGGAGATGGAACGATGCGTGGGGCTGTGAAGATATTTAATGAAATTCATCGCCGGAAACTAAACATTGCAGTTGCTGGAATTCCCAAAACAGTTGACAATGATATAGGCATAATCGACAAATCATTCGGGTTCCAAACAGCGGTAGAGATGGCTCAACAAGCAATCAATGCAGCTCATGTAGAGGCTGAGAGTGCAGTCAATGGTGTGGGGCTAGTAAAGCTAATGGGTCGAAGCACAGGCCACATAGCCCTCCATTCAACATTGAGCAGCCGAGACGTGGACTGCTGTTTAATTCCAGAAACTGAATTTTTCTTGGAAGGAAAAGGAGGCTTGTTCGAATTTCTCGAGAAACGTCTAAAAGAGAACGGCCATGCAGTAGTAGTTGTTGCTGAGGGTGCAGGGCAGGACATGATACCGAGAAGTGAAGCGCAGAAAGAAGAGAGAGATGAATCGGGCAACCCGGTTTTTTTAGATGTTGGTGCATGGTTGAAGTCCGAGCTAAAGAATTGGTGGTCCAGAGATCACCCAAACGAGTTATTTACTATTAAGCTTATCGATCCGACATATATGATACGGGCAGTCCCTGCAAATGCGACAGATAATCTATATTGCACTCTTTTGGCACATTCTGCTATTCATGGAGTTATGGCAGGTTACACTGGATTTGTGTGTGGACCTATTAATGGCAACTACGCATACATTCCATTGGAAGAAGTTGCGAAGGCGAAGAACGAAGTTAACGTAAAAGACCATAAATGGGCATGGGTGAGATCTGTCACTAACCAGCCCGATTTTGTTAGGAGATGAATATGCAAATCATTTTCATCGATCATGTCTAATGTTTTTTGAAGTCAGTGAGTTTTTTGTTGGATTGAATTTTCAAGAGCATGGCCAGGCAAAAGATGCCCATTTGTTAAGTGGGTTCGTTCTTCTGATAGTTTTATGCATAAGGCCTGTTATGGATGCTTAGGTGGTTGGACCAGGTTTGGTTTGTGGAATGTCTTTGTTGTATAATGTAACTGGGCTTTGTTGATTAACATAATGCACCACTGAAAGATCTCTTACACGGTACTGGATTTTTTCACAACTTACATATAGCACTTGTCTCTCTTTCTTCTTTTTTTTTTTTTTTTTTTTTTTTTGGGTAAATTTCAGGGCTTATGTATTTCTCTTACCGTAGTTCTATCACTTTTCATTTAAAAGTTTATCAACTGAATGCCTCGAATTATATGTTTTCTCAAGTTTATGCTCCCTTTTGAACAGAATTTTAGCAACTTTAATTTTTAACAATAATGGTGCACCTTAAATTGCCGAAATTTAGAAAAATTATATACTTTTGCCAAAATTTAGTTATATAGCAATAGTTTTGACGATTTGTGATTTATAGCAAAAAGATGATTTGATGTGTTAATTAGTATGATTTTGGAATAATAATTTTTGCTTTTTTTAACTATTCAACAGTGTTTAATTGGATCTAATTTGCAAGTTAAAGTTGTTAAATAAAAAAATTATTCTACAAATTGAAGATTTCAATAGTGAATTTTAAATTGAATGTTTAAATAGTCAAAATAAAGAATCGAAAGTACTATAAATTAAAATAAGCAGAAGTGTAGGAGTAAATTATGTATTTTTAACCCGTTCAACGATTCCAATTCTATTTTGGTTACATCATAACTGACTTATTATCAAAAAGTAATTTTAATATCACCAAAACTAAATTTTCTAAGTCAATTTCTTATATCGTTGTATAATTGAACTCCAAGATTCAATTGGGGTTTTTAAATTTTCCTTATTGAAATTATCTTTTTTTTCCCAATTTCATAGATTGATTAATCTTTAAAATTCGAAGAAAAGAAATATAAATTCGACGCAAATAATACTCCAATTAAAGATACTTTTATCTATTATTGATTTTTTTTCACTCATACGAAGAGTTGGAGGTAACCGAGTTCGAATCCTCCTAATCATAATAGTTTCACCCTAATTTGGTCTGAGCTAATAAAATGTATATCACAATAATATTTCGCTATTGAACTTCTCAAATAAACAAATAAAAAATATAATTTTATTTAGTAAGCCAAAAAATTCTCAGCCAACTCACCAAGTTGAAAAACCAAAAATGGCATGATGGAAAAGGTGAGACAAATACATAGTATTAAAACATTGATTTCTTTCTAATTTATTTTGAATAATGGCCTGCGGCTTTAACAAAGTGATCACATAAAGAGATATTGATAAGCATCCACAACGATTTTCAACTATCAATGCATAACGGAGTAAAAAAGTAGCAACATTATTATCATTTTTGTTTGGAAAAGAAAGAAAAGAAAAGTCAAAAAGCTGATATATGAAAATTTAAAAATTAGTCTAAAATGTTATATGATAGAGTATTACTCAAAATCCAAGAAGGTCTTTTCTTTGGGAGTGAGTTGAGAATTGCCAATGGGATTCTTTCTTTCATACGTCGTTTATAAAGAAAAAAGAAAGAAAGAGAAGAAAAATAAAGTTAAGCAAATGTCCCTTTGAACATATGGTGACTAGAGAGAATCTCCTACAACCATTATCTTTTTTTATTATTCTAAAGTCCCTCATATTCTACTGGCCCATTTCGCCTTCAACAAAAAAACAATGCCTCCTTGCGAACCTTTACGATTACACCTTATTCTCATCTTTTATGAAAGGCTATTTAGTAATCGTTCTATACAAGTCGAAACATGATGACTCCTAGCCCATCAAAATTAAAAAGGGTGAACTTCGAATTCCAATTCTCTTGCTGTTTTGTTGTAATAATATAATATATAATCGAGTTAATTCTTTTAATTTTGTTCCTTGTTGTGATTTTAACTAGTCACGGTGATGTCCAAGGGCCCACTGTGCAAACACTAACCTGATTAGCCTCAGGAGGCCCATAAAGTGAAGCACTGTTTTTCAAGTATTTAAAGGACTCCTATTTAGGATCGAACTCAAACCGTCTAGTTAAAGAAGAAGAGATCTTGTCATCTCAATTCACCCATCATACCTAAAGCTCAAACTCGAACCTTCTGATTAAATGACTTCCTCTTTTTTTTTGTTTTCGTTTATATGTGTAATAATTACTCAAATAACTTCTTTCTTTGTTCTTTATTATTCACCAAATCTTTTTTTTTTTTTTCCCCCCACGTATAAATGTTAAATCTCTAAATGTGACCCATGTAAATTAATTTTTGGAAAAATATTAATTGAGCTTATATTTTATAAAAAAAACTACTTTACTCTTATGCGTTTTTAAAATAGACCAATCATGTTTTTCAGTTCGATTACACCATTCTTCCGCTTCTAGTCCAATATGGGCTAATTTAGACGTTAATATAATAAAGAAACTGAGAAGGAACAAAAATATGAATTGAAGAATGAAACTCTGTTAATAAATATTTCAGCTACAATGATGGGGTTGATACTGTACAAATATCAAGTGTGAAAGGAAAATGTTCTTCGTAGCTGTACAAGCCATTATTACTGCATTATATTAATCAGCCTAAAATCATGATAGGTCAATGCCAAAATGTGCTGCCATATTTACGGCAAAAAAATATCGCTATTAACACCCCTCAAATTGTAGTTTAGGATATCAATACAATTTTGAAAACCATCTTAATTATGTCTCGTTCTATTGAATGACTTATTAAATAAGTCTGTGAATGCGTCATAAGAATAACTTTAGCAAGTGATGACACCTTCTTTGTGAAAGATTCTCGTGCATGTGCAAGATCTCTCATATAGGTGGCAACCAGTTCTATTTGTTGTTCTTCTTCATGAAAGACAGATTGCATGGCAATTTGATTGCAGTGAATATCTGCACAAAAGGTGTAATGAGTTAATCTGACACCATTCTCCTAAAAGTCTGCGAAGCCAAATGATTTAGAATGTGCAGCAAACATGATCTATATGTATGTTTCTGTTGGAAAGATTTGAAGAATACAATCTTCTCTTTACACTTCCAAATATCAAGGAATCACCCAAAAACATATACCTGTAGAGGTTAGACCTGCTGTAGATGTGACATCAACCTAACAGAAATCAGCGTTAGCTAAATAAATTTAAAAAAGTGTAGATTGAATAAAATATCATTTACCAATGATTCCCCTCAAATATCGGATTATGCAAAGCAAGGTGGAGTAATGAAGTTCCGGGATCAGACAACCAAATTTGCTTAAAACTTAAATGCCATAGGAGATATAAGTCTTGTCATAGTCAAGAAATTAGACAACCACAAGTTTTCTATACGTGTAGAATCATTTAAGGTTTACCAATCATTATTCTATCATTTCATATTATTTCCATAGGTGGAAAGCAAACTTTATCATCCGATAATTGCAAGTGTAATATTCCTCTGTATATTTATTGGTTTAGTCTGGTATACCATTTCAGTATGAAAGAACTTTCAGTCCCAGAAGAATATGTCAAATTTATCTAAATCCTTCATATGAGATCATGGAAAAATTTCTTCAATTGCAAATACCTTCAGCGAAAGTCATCACCCTAATGATCATATTATCACATATAAGAGACAAATTAATGATAGCAGTCAAGGCAGAACGTAAACGATGAACATGCAATGATCATATTTCTTTGAGAATTCAAACGCCAAAAATGGTGGTTTGAAACTTTTCAAAACCATTGGGCCGAAGCTTTTTTCAAAGCATAAAGATTTTTAAGTTGAACCAAATTAGGTGCTGATAATGAGTAGACCCAGGTGGAGCTTTCATATACACTAACTTCTCCAAAGATCCATTGTAAGAAAGCATTCTTTACCATCCATTGAAAACGGAGACCATTTTCTCTATAAAAGTTATGGCAATAAGTGTCCGTTCCGGTCATTTTGCAATGAAGAGCAATATTTCTTCACAATTAATGTTGTATTTCGTTTGTAGCCTTTGAATACCAAGTCGAGCTTTATACGTTCAAAAAGAATCCATCTGCTCTAAGCTGACAAAAAATCCATTTACTCTCAATAACAGTTTGTATTAAAATGAACCTTGTAGTTTCATCATTCATTGTTTTTTTCTTTACCATTTTCTTGACTAGCGCTGCATAATTAAGAGTTAGTATAAATAATCGAATTCCAAAAGTGGTGTTAAGGCATATAATTACCATAAGTTTCCAGGAGAGTAACGCATACCCAATATTGGAACTTGGCATGACAGAAGACTGTCAAGAACAAAAGGTTCAGTTATTATTTCTGAAGGTGTGTTTGGGTCGTTAGAAATTGAAAATGACCTCAAGCTGATGTGCATTTGTTGGTGACATCTCACAGAACCCATTTTGCCCATATTGGGAAGTGAAATAGTCTTTTTGAAAGAATAAGTTTGGAGTATGTTCCATGCCACCGCACCACTTGATATCCCTAGAATTATTTACCCTGTTAAGTATAAAGAGAATGTTGTGGATAGTGTTATGTTTTTATAGATTTTTAAATAATCTATAGGGATTTTAGCATTTTATACTTATTTAGATTTTTATTTCCAGTTTTATTTATGTTTTTGGGTAAAGCTTCCGTATAATCATAACTCCACTTGATCTTCAAGGAAATTTGTAGTGGTACAGGAAAAGAGCAAAAAATAAAGCAAAAACACCAGCTCTAGCACGCACGTTCCCATGCGTGACTCAAGAAAAATCAATGGAATTCAGGACTCAGCACGCCCAAGCCGTGCTATATTGGCACACCCATTGCCCAAAGAGAGACACAACACAAAGCTGCTTACCTAACACGCCCGTGTTGCATTTCTAATCCTGAGACTCAGAAGCCTTAGCACGCCCTAGCCGTGCTAGTGGGGCACGCCCGTGCCACATATTTTTCTCTAGACGTCCGCTGAGCACAGCCCGTTGCTGAGCCATCCTTAAACTCAGCTCTGCAAGCCCTGACCGGTCCGCACAGCACGCTCGAGCTACGCATAAGTTTGTCTTAAGTCGGGGAGAACGCCAGCCAATCTCATCACTTGCAGGGCCCACCTCATATACTCCCTGACGTAAACAAATCAAAATCTTTAATCCTGATATTAGGCAGAAGAAGAGTCTTAATGGAGAAGAAATCAAAGCCTAAACAGTTACTATC